AGCACATCGCCTTTGCTCAGCCCAAGCTCTCCACTTCTGACAGTTCTATGATCTGATGTTGTGTTCTGAACAAAACTTGCTTTGAAAAATTTCATACATGGCTCATACAGGAAAAAACCCTGCCTGTGGAAATCCAAGGGTCTTAAAGTGTTAAAAAAATAATTCATAAGTCTTGCATGTACAATTTTAATTGTATTCAGAATAATTCAAGCTTGCATCTTATTGAGATCTTCTTAGTTTTTTTTTTTTTTTTGCGTTCTGTTGCTGTTATTATTGGATCCTTTTGTCTTTTAATGATACACAAGAGATTACCTTACATTAGCAAACATCCAAACAAGACCTAAAATAGATGTGTGAGCATGCCTGTTCACCATTTAAAAATTCCTATTATTTTACATAATCTTAATGAAACAGGTCCATCCTCTCTTTTTCTCTGCAGAATGTGGAACACTTGTTTTCATAACAAAACACCTTCTGAGTATTTACTGTGTTAGCCTGTCTAGGGTAGCTCATACAGACCATTGACTATAATCCTCTGAACTTTTTTCCCTTGTGGTGACAAAACCAACTCACTTCACTGTTTTACGGTAATGCAGTTCAAAGTAGTATGATGATAGACGGGGAACAGTGCAAATTTTTCCCCTGACCCTATTTCTAAATCATTTTGTAGTGCCCTGATCAGATGTACGAGAGGTGCTAGGAAAAATACATCAGAAAGTGTATGGAACACATGAAGAATGTGCACTGCAGAAAAGCTCAACTCCCTTTTATTGAACTGTAGGGTGTTTGTAAGCGTGGGCAGTGCAGGAAAGCTGAGTCAGCAAGACCTTGATTTGCAGCATTATTGAGGACACAGTAACTTCATTTGGAGTTGTGGGCGTTTAATAGCCTTGAAAATAGAACTGCAAGAGATGCTATTTAAGGTGTGAGGCATTTCTGTCCGCTGAAAGAAAACCTGAAGAAATTATGCTGTTTGAGTCTAGGGATAAGGAGGAAAAATTGCCTTCTGTTTCTTTGTCAGAAGTCTGTTTTTCATCAGCATGTCAAAATACTCACTCTGACACAAATGAGCAAAATGAGCAGAATTACATGGCCTGTAAGAGGGATAGTAGGGTGGTTTGGTGATATTGGATATAATAGTGCAGACCACTGAGTGTTAAGAGTGGTTGAATACTGAAGCAAGTAATTGAACCCTAAGGAGAGGCATGCTTTCCTCTTCTATTTTGATCGTGAATAATTGTTCAAACCCTCCTCAACAAAGGGCTGTGATAGCTCACCTGAAGTAGCCTGAAATGCCATCTAATTAATTTTTAGAAGTGGGTAGGTTTTACACACTGTCGTCTTTAGTGACAGGACAGGTATTAATCACTGATTTTCATATTGGCTGTTCCGACTTAAGCTGAGTTGCTGAATGCATGCAAGGGTTATACTTTTCTCCTCTTTTGTTCTTTTTTTTTTTTTTTTTTTTTTTTTTTGTAATAGCTGTGGGATACTATCTGTATGGGAGTGTTTTGCAGCCCCGTATAACCCCCTGGGCTATACTTTGATTAGGGTAATATAAGTCCTGTTTCTAGCCATCTGGGATTCTCCAGAGTGTGAAAACGTGATGGGATTGTGCATGGTTCAGTGTAACCTACTCAAGATATGGGTGGGACCTTGCTGTGACAGACTTTATCAGGATGGTAGCAGATATTCACTGGCAGATCTGGAAAACCAGCAGTGCCAGGGGGCAACAGGCCAGCACTGTTGTGGTGAAGGCTGTCTGTGCTAAGGATAAACTGTGTAATTAACTGGAAGCATGTGTTGGGCTGCTTGATGCACTGCAGTTTGCTTTCAGACAATTTTCTGAAAGAAACACAGCACACTTGATGGTGCACTTGTTAGTGGTCGTCAGCCAGTTCTTAACGTGGATAAATTAGTGGTAGGAATAAGTTATAGCTAGAAGAGGATTTTTGCCTTGGCAACCAGTTCCTGGAAACTTTTATGTTTATTTCAGTCTCTTTTTAGTTTGGTTCAGTTGTTTTGTTTTTTTTTTCAGAGGAAGTGAGATTATCCATGATCCAATAAACGAGCCAAGTGCAACCTCATTTTCTGTACTCTTTGGTAGGAAGTCAGCAGCTGAGGCATCGTGAACCAGAACTGAGGAGATGTTTAAGTTCACCCAGTTTGAACCTTCTTGCATGAAGGAGCCTCTAGGCTGGGACATCTGTGGGCCTGACTGGTTGAGAAGCATTTGTTTAAGGTATTTAGGGTGGAGGTGAATGATAGGAGAAATAATTCAGGGTTTATGTACGTTCTTAGGTTTGGAGGTGCAGAGTGAAACCAGGTGGGATTTTTGAGCAGATGGGAGCAACTGGAGCTCATAGCTACTCAGTTCAATATGCTGTGGCACAGGGAACGCTCTGAAGTGAGGTCTTGCTCTGGAGAGCTGTGGGAAGCCCTTCCTGGGTGGGACAGCCTGTTCTCTTGTCATTGTACTGCACTGTACTGGCTCAGCTGTGGTCTCAAGTTATAGCACTACATTGGGCTATATGGACATGGCCCTTGCTCTTCAAAGCACATCTGTAAGTTTTGCGCCGTCCCTAGGTGTGAACGATTTCAGCGACTTTATCACCTTGCATTTCTTCAGTGCGGCCGTAGAGGACAGCTTTGGCTGCTGCTCGGGACAGAGCCCCTATTCCTCTCGAGGCTTGAATACCTCTAAGCAACTTTAGCCTCACTGAGTGGTAATATTTAACTTTACCTATCACTAGCTTTCAGTAATCAAATATGAAAAAGAAATCACAAACCTAAACAGAGGAACATTAAAATTTGTAGCTGTCCAACAGAAGGAAGAAGCAGCTCTGCTGCTTTCTACTCCCATGATAAAAGGTTTACAAAAATCAATCTGAAAATGGACTAAGGGCCAAAGCCTGAGATGAGTTCCTAACTGAGGTATGTTCTCTTTAAGCCAAAGGGAATTCAGATCCTAACCAAATTTCTTAAACTGTTATTTATTGTATTATTACAGTATTGTTGTGTAAGCCATAATATGTTTCAGTAGGCACAAATGAAGAACACTTCTTAAACCCTGAATGTCAGAAAATAAACAGCTCAATTTAATTTTACTGCATGTCCAAGCATTCTTGTGCTGTTGGAAGCAACAGATGATCATTCTATCTTCACATGCCCTGAACCCCTGGTTCAATAAGGCTGTCTCTGGTCTCCTCACCAGTTACTTCTTTTGAGCCAGCATTCTGCTCCACTTCATCTCTGCTGTATTCAAGCTTCTCCTTATGTTTGATCATCCCTGTGGCCCTTTTCTAGCTTATCTATGTTCTCTGTAAGTTGGAATGACCCGAACTATGCACCCTATTCAATAAGTCTGAGCACAGTGGCTTTCAAGTGGTGTGACCATGTGTCCTCTTTTGTTTCCTATTCCTTTTTTAGTGCTTTTTAGCATCTTGCTGGGATTTGTCAGTATGACCCTCCTGGCAAGTGAACTGATGATTTTAAGACCTACCCAGGTTGCTTTCCTGAGAAAGAGATAATTACAGATTCAGAGCCTGTCACTGTAGATAAATACTTAAGGTAATTTTGTGCCCATACATATTATTTTGCACTTACCAGTGCAAACATTTTGTCATCTGCTCACTTAATACTATGTGTACCCAAGATGTAAGTCTTAGCTGTCAGCTTTAGATGCGATTATTTTGAATAACTTTGTCCTGGCGTTACTCACTGCCCTGTCAGGCAGTTTGTGACTAGACTGAGCCTTGCGAGTCCCAAAGCACATCTCCAAATGGGATAATTTGATAATGTTAATTTGTGGCAAAATGACATTTTTTTCCTATCTCTAACTGTGAGGAGAACGCCCCTTCTACCCACTGATTGTTTAGCTTCCAGGATTGCACCATCTACCCTTTTGTAACCCATAAAAAACTGTTTTTCCTTATCCTTTCGTAACCCATACACAAACTTTTTTCCTTACCCTTTTGTAATACGCACACAACTGTTTTCCCTTCTAATATGTTGGAAAGCATCATAGGGACAGATCAGCTTTTTCTTTGGTTGGCTTCAAAAGCTCTTTCACTGTCAATTTCGCTTGGAAATGGAACATATGATCCCTGTAAGAATCAATTAGGTTTGGCTTTTTATACACACAATCTCTCGTATTCCATGTGTCATGCACATATCTTTTTTTGTAAATGGGTCATTCTGAGACACATCTTGTAGTAACGGGCAACATCAACTTACCATTTTTCATCCTGTAGGCAATGTGAGCAACGTGACCAAATATAAATATTTAGAGTGGATATTCCTAATAGTTTAAAACACAGTGGCTTTTTAATTGCTCAATCTCTTTAGTCACAACTGATTCAGTGATTATTCTTGTCATGTAGAGCATAGAGGAATTTAATGGCAGATGTGAAGTTAATTTTTATTCTTATGACACTTTTAGAACAGAATCTGATCCATACCTCCTTTCAGTTTTTACTCAGTGTTCGATAAAAAGATGAATGTTTTTATGATGGACTATGAGCTTGTTGATTGTCCTGGTAAGCAGCAGCTGCAAAATCTGATGCAGTTTAGTGTGTGACAAAGCTGAATGTCACACACTAATTCATTTGAATAGGAGCCAAGCTAATATTCCTTATTGGGGTAAAATGCCCACTGAAATGTTTTTATGGAATTAGGATGGCAGATTCATCATGGAAATGTGGGAACTCCTGTTTTGGGCGCATTGAAAATGTGTTGTTCAGATGAACAAGCTATTTGTACAGACATGTACAATACTGAATACTCCTTTAATCTTTTAGTAATCCAGACATTACCATATGGACAAACTGCACAGATTGATTTGAGGAGGCCTCACTGGATAAACAAATACCCTACTTCAGTTAATTTGCTGAGCTTTTATGTTAATGTATCAGGAAAAAAAAAATGCTTTCCAGCACATAGTTTATTGGCAGTGACATATAAAATGAGACTGATGACAATCAACACAGGTTTAAGGCAGCTTGTTTGACAAGCAGCTCGTGATGGTTTGGACAGTTATGTGGAGGGCTTTCTTTCAGTACTTCATTGCTTGTAGCCGATGCACGGCCTTTCCAATGTGGAACCACCTTTGCATGTACATATCAGAGAATGCACGTCGTTTCCTCTACCATTTTGCTTTCAGTGATGTACCTGCATTAATTTGGCTTAATGCCATAATGGGTTATTTCATTTTGTTATCAACCTCTGCTTTCTCAATCTTCTGTCCTGTAAGGAACTGCCATATTCCTCCTCTGTAGTTCTCATTCCCCAGGGCATATACAAAGGCATCCACTGTTGGCACAGTCTTGGCAATAACAGCAGGAATCTGTAGTGAGACACAATATTTATTAATAGAAAAATGCACCAAGGAGCTAATGGGCTGACTTCAGCTGAGGCTTAGTTTCCCTTTACCAAAAAAATGCCTGTGTCTGATGGCAATAGCTTGCTACTCTCAGAGAGACGAGAGGTGAAATAAATTTGGTCAGTTGGAGGCCCTTGCTCAGGAAATTATAGTCTCCAAGAGAAAGAATTTAGATCAGCATTGCCTGGAACTGAAATATTTCAGTTGAGAGTGAATACAAACATTCAGGAGCAGTGAAGGGTGTGCCATGGACACTTTTTGATGCGTAAGTGGGCTAATATTGCTAATACATTTTATGTGGGATACTGGATACCTAAGTACGGGAATGCATTTGGTGACCTGAAACTGGGCTGATTTTTGGGGGACTGAATGAAAGCTGAAAGGTTTGATGTGATATTACTGAGTCTTAGAGGCAGTCTCGGAGCCAAGACTCCTAGAAAAAAGGCGGCAGCATAAAAGACAGGATAACCTTAAGAGTGATCAATTGCAGCGTCCCTGAGGAGAGAGGAGTATTAGAAAAATGAATGAGACAAACCGTCTCTTCAAAATTGAAAATTTTGAGCTAGTACTTGACTCTGGAAAGGACAAAAAAGCTCCTACAAACCATGAAGCAGTACAGGCTACAGACCCTTAATGAACTGGTGAAGAAAAAGCCCCTGACTCCCCATTGTTGCCTGATCAAAACAGTAGTACAATGCCTGTTATATCACTGTGCTTAGCTGTTTTGCCTTAAAAGTGATAGATGAACAGAATGCTTTGAGGAAACAATCTACTTGTTATAACAAGGAAACCCAATTGCGAGTGAATTGGCATTGTTCAATGTCAATTGAACAGAGAGAGGGGAGTAAGGAGAATGTCATTGTTTGAATTCCATTGGGTAGCATAGACGTACCATGCGGTATTTTGGTGAAATGAACGTCACATTTTCAACTGCTGCATAGAAGCATAAAAGGCAGTAAGGACCCCAGCAAACGACCAGCGTCTTCAATGGTAAACCAGTATTAAACTGAAAAACAAGAGCAATAAATTCCGTTGTGTTTCACAACCACACACTGCAACAAGTGGATGGGACAGATCCTGTGAGACCGTGGTTTGTGTTCAGTAGCAGGAGTGGATCAGCCAGCTTTGCTGTCAATGTCGAGGTGTACAAGCACAGCTCCCTCTGCGACGAGGGCTGCCTGTGCAGCAAGCCCCAAAGCTCTGTTCCTGGGGGCCAAGCAGGGAGTGGCCATTGCTCCTGGGCAGAGCTGACAAAGCACCTTATGGTAGATCAGTTAAAGCAGTGTGTGCGCTAGACATGGAAGCCATGGCCAGTAGTTGCTGCTGAGGGGGGAGAGCAATGTGTAAATTTAAAAACAGATAAAAAGGAATGATATTTTGCTAACTACTTAGAGGGTCTTGCAGACAAATAAACTGTGTGAAGCCACTACTAGAGCAGTGCAACAGATGGATGCGGTGGCATCCATGTTGTGGTAGTAGGATTCCTGTGTCCTTTATGCTAGGGCCTTGTCCATGGTGTTCACGGCCAGCTGTTCCCAAGTATCTTATAAATATTAACGAAGAGGGAAGCAATAATTTCATCTTTAAATTTTCAGCATTGGAACCAGTTTGCACAGCTACAGAATATCATAAGAAAGAAATCATATGCTATTGCATAAACTGGCTGAAAAAAAGAGATAATAGAGATAATAAAAACAAACACTGAGATTTGTTCGAGAAACACGTAAGAGGGCACATGTATATATTCCAGACAGCTACAAACCAGTCTGCCTGACTGTCTCTGCCAGTATAACATCCCCCTTGAGAACTGACTGTTGTTACTGAGTGCAGGGGTTGGGCTCTGCCTGCCAGCCATGCATAGTGCCCCAGACTGTATAGCTTGCGCCTAAGGAAACAACTCATATAATCAGCACATTCCATTCCCATAAAGCTGCCATGCCAGAGTAATTCCTTTGTTTCCACCTCATAAAGATTTCTGAATTTCCTCAGCCAAGTGTAAATGCGGTGTGTTTAGGAAGGCCCTTTTCCCCCCATGGGGTGCCTGCATGTTTCCTTGCAGTGCTGCAGTTCCAGCTGAGTGACGAGCTAAGAGCCTGTAGCAAAGCAGAAAATAATGATCCTTCCTGAGCAAAGTTTCTCTGAGCAAATATTGATATGCTATTAGCAAATATTCTGCATGCTGTGTGTTTGTTTTGTGACTAGAGTTGGACCAGTGTTGGTCACTAGTCCGATCCCTGCTTTGACAAGGAACTGTTTACAGCACTAGTTTGGGGCAGATGTGGCTGGCTGGTCAAATCTTGAAATCTCTAAGGACAGGGTTTCCACGGACTTTCTAGGTGGCCCCATCCTGTGTTAACACTACCCTCCTTCTCAAGTAACACTGGGGAGTTAGCACAGAAGGAGCAGGGCCAAAGCCTGTATCAGAGAAATTGGCTTTTTGAGGACTTTGTCTCTGTTGGATGCAACCTTATTTTGGCAAGGCAGTTGCAGGAGTTAAGGAAGCTTTCTTACCTTATAGTGCCCACTTTTCTTGAACTTCTGGTGTATGGACTGATAGGCAGTCAACATGATGAAGGCCGGGATCATGAAATTGAAAATGGATAGAGCAAAAAGGAATGTGATATAGTTTCTGGAAAGGGGGAGGGAAAAAGAAGAGGTCATTAATTCCTCTCTAGGACATCTCTATAAACTTGCTGTAAATATTCATTAACTTGTATTTTTAAAATTGACAAAACCAGTTTTGTCAACATGCTGACAAAGCAGCAGCATTTGCTGAAGGCTGGTTAAGTTGTGCCATGCTGTTGTGTGCGGGATGGACAGTATTGCAGAAAATCACAACGGGTGTTTGGGTTCAAAATGCAAGCATCCCTACTCAGACGTCAGTGCTGGACTGCATAAAACCAAAACCGTTCTAAAGAGCGTCAAGTCCTAAAACCAGAAAAGATGCAGCTTACTCCCAAGGAGTAAGGGAGTAGCAAAAACCTGAGCATCAGCCTCTCCCATGGAGGAAGCTGACGTCAGCTATTCCTGCATGCTGCCATGTGAGTCAAGGCAGCCTTGGGTTGTGCCTGCCTTGCCCCAGCTGCTGGGGAGGGAGCAACAGTGATGGGGGACAGTTTTGGTGTGCTGCCAAGGCCCTCTCAGGGGACGACAGCCTCCACCCCCTGTCCATGGGAGCTGGCCCTGGGCCTCACCTGTCCCCTTTGCTGTAGTCCAGGGTGCAGCAGGTTCGGAGAGGCTCGTAGTCATATTCCCCCCACCCCAGCAAGGGCATCACGGACCAAAAGGCAGCAAACAGCCACGCGAACACCATCATGGAGATGGCCGTGCTCCACTGCAGCTTGCTCCCTGCGGGAAGAGAAAATTGGGTCTCCATGCCCAGAACAAAACCACTGGGTAAAGCTGACTGACTCCGTGCGCCAGAGCCAAGTGCCCTGGCCCCTGGGCCACGGGCAGAAACAAGTGGTGCCCTGTGCTTTGTAGCCTGAAGCTGACCTGAGACTGGAGGAATTAACCTTGCACGAAATTTGAAGGAAGATTTTAGACTTTCAGAAACCAGCAAATTGTACTTCCCTTTCGGGTGCTTTACTTAGACAAATGCTGTATTGCTGCTCAGCTTTGTACCACACCGGAGACACAGCTGCTGTTACAAACATTATATTCTTGTGTTTTGGGAATGTGTTTAAAGATTCAGATGAGGCACAGGGTAATGCAATAAATGGTGTTTGAAGAACTAAAACCCTGCTGCAGGGTGTGGGTCAGATCAGAAATGTGACCCTGCACACGCTTCCCAGCCCCTGCCTACTTCCTTCCTGCCCTGCCAAGAGTGCAGGGCACTCATGGATATTAAATATACTGTTCTAAAATTGCTGCTCGTCAATATAAATGTGAATATATACACGCAACCTGACAGCAGATCTTGTTCTCAAAATACTGCTGGTCAGATTACTCTGCCCTTAAGATCATCGCTTAGCCTGGAACAGGAAATGTGAAGCTCAGCATTAGAAATATATTTTCCTAATTTTATAATAAAAATGATTACTTGTGCCTATCTCATCCTGTTCCATAAAATACCATTGGAACAGGTCAATGAATGAAATGAAAGACTGGAAACTTCAGAAGACACAGGAAGTACTTCTTCATGGAGAAGGCAGGCAGGCTTCCCTGCTGCTGCAGGACATTGTGTTCGCCTTGCTGCTTGCGTGTAAAAAGGCCCCGATAATTTTGTTATTGAGGCTGACGTCTGTAATCACGCCCATGCTGAACAGCCCATGACGCCAGCTGCACCAGCAAGGAGCACGGTGACTTTGCTCACTACTCCTTTCTAATCAGATCTCCCATTACGGAGAAGTAATGGTGTAATTTTCGCTGAGGTTGGGAAGCAATCTTTTTGTCTGCCCTTAACAGCAGCACCATGACAGCAGGCCAGGAAGATTCAGACCAATTCTGACCTTTCTCAGAAAGTTAGAGGATTGGAGGTGAGGTGCATGAGGTGCATGAGGTGAGGTCCTGCTGTGGGATCAGACACGGTTGACTCATGGGTGGAGAGCACGAGGGGGCTGCACAGGCTGGAGATCCCCGTAAGGCACTAGTCCCAGGAAGGACCAAAAACTCTACAGTAGCTGTTTGTGTTGTACTGTCCTTGTTTATTTTAAAGAAGGATAATAAAGTAGGTGGGTTAGTGAAATTACCTTTACAGGAATGCTGATTTTACCTCTGTCCTTTTTCTTATCTTCCAGAGGTTCTTCAGGGAAAAGAATTAGAGTTTGAATTGCATGAAAAATCAACTTGGAAAAATTGTTTGGTGCAGGTGTTCAAAAAGACAGGTGTATACATTGCAATTTAAATACCAAGGAAAATGTAAAGAAAATACTTTTAATTAAATACTCTATGTTTCAATATGGTAGTTACAAAAAAACTATTAATTTTTTTGTCATTTAAAACATGATTTTTTAATAATTACTAGTGAAGAATGATTAATAATGACTAATATCTGTCTTTTGATGATTTCTACATAGAAGATATACTTTGTCTGCAAAGGCTCAAATATTGCTTTGTAGTACTGATATAATATGACTCTAGAATGACAGAGATGGAAATAGAGGAATAGTTTCTGATTTAGGGGGCTAGAAACATGAGTCAAACTTTTTAGTAACTTGTAATTATTCTTAACCTCCCAGTCTAAAGAAGCAATGTGGCCTAAGTTGTGTCTTTCAGAACTGCATCCTATTTAGGTATATGCTCAAACAAGCATGTTAGAGTTGTTACTCATCCAAGGTTTCCATTTCTATTTGTGTTCTACACAGCAGTTCTTGTAGCTTGGCTTTACACAACTGTAACTTGAAATTCAATCAGGACAAAGCTTATTACACAAGCTGTCAGATTTGTTTTGTTTTACATATTCTAGCAACTTTTTAAAGGCATAATCAAAAGCAGTTGCACTGAAACCTGGGTCTGAATTGTGTTTCTTTTAAACCAAGCTCATGCCAAAAGTAGCTTTATTGCTTTGTGAATACAATTTTGTAAGTGGTAAGCCCTCCTGATATTCTGAAAAAACAAAGTAGATCTTGTGGGTTTTTTGTTGTTGTTGTTCGTTTCTCAGCATGTCCTATAAGATAGTTAATACCAATTATTTTTCATGGTATCTTGCGGTAGAAACTTTGCTTTCTTTCCACCCCATCCTTTTGCTTCATGGAGTACTGCAATATCTTGAAGGTCTCAAAATGTGATGGACCATGACTGAGGCTCTCTCGTGTCACTGAGTCCTAGGCACACACTGGCACCATGTGGATCTTTACATGTAAGGAAAAGATCCTTGCAGTGACAAAATTTGCCCTCAACTTCTGGGACAGTGTTGGTGGTGTGCTGAAGACAGCCCATGGGTGCCTACACTGAGAGAGGGTGGCTGATGAAGCTGCCTGCAGGTGTTTAGGGGGCAGATGACGGAAAACTCACCTTCCCTGCTGTCACCTCACACAGAAAAGCAGGGGAGGCTCTTGCTCCACTGGCTCCCACCTCCTCCAGAGCCCTTCATGGTGCCCAGTCTCTTGGTGCCACGTTTTTCCTCTGGCCCATGTGCTACCAGCTGGGGTGCAGGCAGGCAACATAAAAGTTGTGAGGCCTCCTGCTGTAATGGCTTTCAAATATTTTCTATCAAGGTGGCTTTAAGGAAGATTTCTATGTTTAATTTTTTAACAGGAAAAGTGCAGCCTATAGGACACTCCTAGGGGAAAACTCCTTGTGCCTTTGGCTGGTAGTTCCTTGCCTCGGTTCCCCTTCTGCTGCAGCTGGGAATGCCCACGCGCCTAGCAGGGCCATGGTGAGCACAGCAATATAACGCTTCTCAATTTCCATTAGCTTTCTTTTTTCCCATTATGTTCCTAATTTTTTTTTGCTTTAATATTTGTGCCTGTTCTATGAAAAACTGTAAGAAGAAGCTTTAGCTACTTTTCTGTGTGTGTTAGAGAACCCCATTTTCTTATTAGATGTAGAATAAAAGGTCTATGCGGTAGCAGAGTCTGGCAGCAGGCATGTCTTGACAGCCTGCGTTTGGAAAGCTCATCTCTGGGGCTGAGTTCATATATTTTCTCTCCTCACATTTAAGGAGTCCCATCTTGGACACTAGAAAAGGAGAGAATCAGAACTTACAAAATTAGATTTTTCCTTCTGGATTTTGCCTTTTGTAAAATGAGAATAATGGTGAAATAGTCCTAGTGATCTCAGATGCCTGTTGACCCTCCAGAAAGCATTTAATGACACATCAGAAGCAGCTAAAAATGCATGAATGTAAAATTAAACCAACTTGATATTATTTTAGTTTTACCCAGAAAAAATACTTTCAGTACAGGAGCAGTGAAAGAATTGTGCTCTGTTCATATGGCAAAAATGTCCTCCTCAGAGAGGGCCAACAACAAGAGGGCAAGTCGAGAGCAGTTCGGTTGTTTTTGTGCAGAGCAGGCCATTGCTTTACCTTAAATGCCTTTTTTGGCCTGATAAAATTTAATGTAATAGCCATGTAGATCCTAATTCAGTTAAATGTGTATGTATGGAGTTCAGCATATGCTTAAGGACATAATTCCTAATTAGGGCCCAGTGCTGGCAATTTGGTCCTATTAAGTCTAATCACTCTCGTGCTCTGGCTTTCTCTCCTTGAAAAGCAAGAAGGAAACTTCTCTTTTCCGTACAGTGAAATATTAATACAGAGGATTTTAAATGGCTTCTGTAATTGCTTTGGGATAGAAAGAGGTCACTCTTATAAGCAAAAAACCCCCATTGTTTAAAGATTACTAAAATTGTAATATCAAAAGCTTAAGTTTTAGGAAGTGCTAAATAGAGCATGGAACAATCCTTTTGATTATGCTGGCCAGTTTTTATCGACATAATAATAAACAATTTTTCCATTTTTATTCTGAGGAGACCTTTATGAATTTAGTTTTTTCTTAAGATTTATAAATTGGTCAAACATTTAGCTGATTTTCACAGAAAGAGCAAAAAATACATCTCTGACACAGTGACTACCTTTCAACTAGATTTCAGGCTGGTGTTCAAAAGGAATTTCTCAAACAAAAAGTCAACAGAATTTTCTAGGATAGAGGGGGAAATAAGTCCCTTTTCCTCATTCTTGCAAATGGTTAAGTCATAATAGCTGATATATTCTAGAACAAAATGGCATATGCAAGACTTCATGACATGCATCACTCTTAAAATTGGCAAAGTTTGTCAAAGACAACAATATCTGAAAGTCTTACAAGGGAAAGTACATCTCATTCGTAAGTAAAATAGGTGTTGGTACCTACTTCATCTGCAGTGCGAAAAGCACCAATCACTGGTGCTCACAAGTATTCATTTTTTGTAGGAATAAGTAAGCTGCACTGCATAATAGCTTCTTTTGTGCCTATTGTTAGAAAAAGCTCTTTAAAATAACCTAAGAGGGATTTTTTTACTCCATTGGGTTTTTTTGCTGTGGGTCTCCCTGATCATAAAGCTGCCTTGGCTGTTACCTCCTGCTTCAGTGAAAATGCAAGATCTGTATAAAGATTGGCATTTTGTCAGGGAAAACTGATGCAGGTGCAAGACTAGATGAAGCAAGTATGGTAGGGTGGCTGCAATAAGTGTGACAGGAGGTAAGGACATGCTTCTAATTTGACAGAGCTGACAGCTGCAATTGGAGCAAATGGTAGTCTGCTAATCTTTGAATACTGATATAACAACCTAGATTTCCTTGAATGTTAAGGATTAGATAAAACTCACTGAAATTCTGCTTCTTGAAATTGAATCTCTGCTGATCTTCCTTAGTCTTTTCTTTTGTAAATTGAGAAAAGTACTGACATAAATCACTTCAGATTTTCATTTCCTGCTAATTCTTAAATGCAAATGTAAAATCTTCTGGATTTCTTTCTTTCCTTTTAAAACTGTAACTGTATGCCGTGGTTATGAAAGGAAAAAACTGACCAAGGATCCTTCCCCTCTCCATAACCTGCTGACGGCAGCGTGCTGCCCTCTCGCCAAAACGAACCGTTTGTTAGATCAAAATGTCTTCAGCACAGACACCTTCATCTTTCATATTGCTGATCCTTGAGCTGCCTTCTCCTGCCTGATCCCAGGTCCAGTGAGACCTTCCTTCCTTCCTTGCTATGTTAAGAATGTAATTCAGGATATTTTGCTCATTTGAATAGCCAGGGAGGGAGAACTAACACTGTCTACCTTGACATAAAATGTCTTTTTCTGTCCTGAATGTTTGGCTATTGATAGACAGCTTCCTCCTTTCCTCCCTCACCGTCAGGCACTAGCATAGCTGCTTCTGTTTTCTCCTTTTCCCTCCAGTGATCAAATTTTGAAATTCAGTAATGTGTTTTCCCATCTTGCTAGTGATTGACATTCAAACCCTTCAGTTTCCTCTGCCTTTTCTCCTCTTACTGCATACTTTTACACCACAGATTTCTGCAGTTCTCTCCTCCTTGCTGTGAAAGTAGCATCTCATAATTCTTCAAAGCCACATTAAGGGAAGAAAAGAGTTGTCCAGCATAGGTGCCAACATGGGATGAAGAAAGCAAGAGGAGGAAGAGTAAAATGCCTTGAAACTCTAGCTCCTCTGTCATGTGTGGTGGTCATACTATTTTCTTCCATATGCCAATCAGTATCAACCTATTTTCTGATGAATGACATGTCTAGTTATCAATACACTTTAAAGGCTAGCACTTTCACTGAGGATTGTACTGACTTCCAAATTTGTACTGACTTTCAAACTTGGTTAATTTTCAGGATATTGGTGAACATACTTGAGTTATTAGGATCCAGAATGTCTGAAAAGTCCTTTTTTCTCATCATCATAGTAATGTCTCACATTCTCATCAGCTCTTTCTTCCTCAGAAATATGGATAGTGGATAATCAAGTGTCAAGCTGAGGATTGCCACAACAAATATCTGGGAAACTGTTAGGACGTAGTGAAAACATTGGGGATGATGAAATTGAGTTTGGAAGGAGTACCAGTTCCTGGGGAATGAAGATTAAAGGTTGATAGCTTTGTTCTTTACGCAAAGGTATTTTGTACCTTCTGTACAGGCATGTAACTCACACCAGCATCAACAGGAGTTTAATGTATGGATTGAGAACACAGTATAGCCTGTAGGCTTGGTATATCAGATCTATGAAATATGACTTAATCTTCCTTGCAATCAGCATGTGAAGGGTGAAACTAAAAGTGGTGGGTTTTACTGGAATAGGTGCGGAGCATGAGCTTTTAAAACCTTCTGGTTTTTTGTTTTTGTTTTGTTGTTCAAAATGTTCAGTAATAGCAGCAATGTTCGGCCACCATTAAGTAACAATTTGAGCAAAGTAAAGAAGCTTGTGCCTTTAGGGTCTCTCTGCCTGTGCTCTTAGCGTAGTACGCGCTTGACAGGAGGAGTGCATGACACAAAAGCATTCAAGTCAATGTTGCAGAGAGCAAAATGCCTTTCCACGGACATGCTTATTTTCAGGCTGTCTCTCTTGTAAAATACAGATGCTACTCTTGTAGCCCCAAAGACATTTCAGTGTCCAAAGGGTGTTGGTATGGATTTAGCTTACAGCCTGCATTATTTGGGGCCTTTGTCTGTACATGAAACAAACCCCGTTTCCTTGCCTGAGCTGAATTCTTGACAAAAGTTGCAGAACAAAAAGTTGGCAACCTTTCCGCCCTCAATGGGATCATCGGATTGAACATGTTCACTGTGTGCTCTGGGTGTGTTTTACCACTTGCTGCTTTACCCGTATGGAGGCCATGACTGAAAGGCTGTGTGGATGCTAGTGGCGGAGAGGATCAAAGTGCTGCAGCTCAGCAGTTTCTTCCCAGCCAACTTTTATACTTTCATTTAGAGAATACTCTGTGAAGTGGTCTGAGCAACCTGTGCTTTAGCACAAGAAAAGGAGGGCCGAATTTGTCTATTGACATTGCCAAAGGAACACAATTTTTGGGGAATGGTGTGGTCACATTGAGGTGCTCTGGACTCCTCACTCCTCTGGAAAGGGCCTGGCTTTAGCAGGAAACATGAATGCCACAGATCTGCATGAGAGGGCTTCATCCATTTCTTCCAGGTTATAGAGCTCCCACACAACTGCCAAAATGGCCAAATAGTGCAGATTAGGGCATTCCTACCATTACAGAGTGCTAAGGTGTCCTTTCAGAATAAGTTTGTATTTCATATAATGTCTCTTTCCCTTTTCCTAATGAGGGTCATGAGATACTGCAGTCTGTGTTTTTCACTCAATTCTTTCGTAAGAACTTTGGAAAACATTGGCTGCTTAGATGTAAACTGGAGAGGGAAATGGGGACTGACAGGTACTAAGTTGCTGCATTAGTGTGAAAGTTGGCATTTGAGGAGAGGTGAGGCCCTGTGAAAGCACCCATAGAGCAGTCAGCACAGGTCTCTCTTATTAGACAAAAGCAAACATCGTCCCTGTGCACCATGTTCACAAGAAAGCAGCTTTTGCTGGTTCCAGTGCTCACAAGGCTGCTAGTTTGTTCTACAGCAGATGACAATGCCCCTTGCCCCTTCCTGACTTCTGTGCTAAGAGAACACAGTTATTCCCCTGTTCTCCCCATCCGCAGTGATGGCTGGAGCACAGCTGGAGTCTCGGCGCAAATCCTAGCAGTCTCCACAGACACCAAATGCAACTCAGCGCCCTAATTCAGCAAAAATTTCCACTCATGTTGCATGGATGCACAAATCCAGTACTGCCAACGTTTGGGAGATAGTTCTGTGATAAAAGACAGAGTGTATCTATCTCTGTAAACCCATATATTTCACAATCCTGTCAATGTCTATTTCTCACCTAAGTCAAAAATATGCTTTCACAAGTCCACAAAAAAAGGCAAATTTATTTTCCTAGGTTGATCTCCCTGTCTAATATTAGATTTCCATTAAATCCAGCTAAGGTGTCAGAGCTAGTTGAAAACTAAATTGCAAGAGAAAACAAAAACTGGCCTTCACTAAGAGAAGAAAAAGAACATATTCCTCCCATTATCAGTGCCCAAAAATAGCTTTGATACTTTTATTGAAAGTTGAAGATAATTTGTTCCTTTCTTGAGAACAAACGTACCAAGTTCCAGTTTTCATAAGGGAGCCTGGAACATAGCACAAACCCCACAAACGGCTCTTGCACCCCAAAGTGCCTGTGTGTTGAGCAACTGGGCTGCTGAGCTCTGCCTGCCTGATTGTATCTCTGCAGAAGTGCTTTGCAGTGGGCTGTGTTCCAGCTGCTGTATCTGCAGAGACAGCTCTCTAGCTACACAAAGTTTCTCTGTAATTAGTAAACTCTGCATGGACATGAAGATCTGTTTGGTACACAGCAGGGTGTTGGATGGAAGCCCAAGGTGCATGGGTTTTTCTTCAATATGAGGAGTTGGATTTTGTTTGGGACACTCAAGAATATTTATGGAGAAGGTGAAAGCATGGCAAGAGAGTCAGGACTTGGATGTGATCTGGAAAAGGAAATATTTTCTGAAGGCGATTGGTTAGTGCCCTCTGTATGGGAAGAGATCCTTTGGAGAGATTGTTTATATTTCTTCTATCTCTACTGTGAAAGATAAACAAACTTGTATATAAGATTTGCAGTTAATAAATATGCACTTGCTTTGATTCTTCAAAATCTAACCAAGCCTGCCTTACAGCAGGATCTGGGTAAGTTTGCTAGGTAAATTGTAGCCCTTACTTGTACAGTAGTGATGATACCGGTCCCAGGCGACTGCAGCACAGGAACTAATGCTGGCTAGTGCTGTCAAGAAGCCCTGGAATCCATGAATTTGACAACCATCAGAGCCGTAGGGCCAGTATCTGTCAACAAACAAGGAATATATTGAGAAAATGATAGAAAAAGGTGAAGACATGTTTGGAAATTGCATTAACAGAGAAGGTAAAATGATAGCCTGTGCACGTGCTTTCTAAGTCTGAGAAACATTGTGAAAGCTGTTACTGTGGTTGCCTTGAGGTATTTCATAGAATCATAGAATCATAGAATGGTTAGGGCTGGAAGGGACCTTCAAAGGTCATCTAGTCCAACCCCCCTGCAAGGAACAGGGATATCTCCAACTAGATCAGGTTGCTCAGGGCCTCGTCCAACCTGGCCTTGAACATCTCCAGGGATGGAGCATCCACCACCTCTCTGGGCAACCTGTTCCAGTGTTCCACAACTCTCATGGTAAAAAATTTTTTCCTAATATCCAATCTGAATCTACCTCCCTCTATTTTAAAACCATTACCCCTTGTCCTATCACAACTGGCCCTCCTGAACAGCCTCTCCCCATCTTTCTTGTAGGCCCCCTTGAGGTACTGGAAGACCGCTATAAGGTCACCCCGGAGCCTCCTCTTCTCCAGGCTGAAGAGCCCCAACTCTTTCAGCCTGTCCTCATAGGAAAGGTGCTCCAGCCCTCTTATCATCTTCGTGGCCCTCCTCTGGACCCTCTCCAACTGGTCCATGTCCTTCTTATGTTGGGGGCTCCAGAACTGGACGCAGTACTCCAGGTGAGGTCTCACGAGGGCAGAGTAGAGGGGGAGAATCACCTCTCTCGACCTGCTGGCCACGCTCCTCTTGATGCAGCCCAGGACGCGGTTGGATTTGCTAGCATTTATCTTGCTGTGATGTCTGATATAGTACAACAGCTATTTTTACTCTTAATATGGAGAAGAAAATATAATCCTGCATTTGTGTGTTGGAAAGTTGGTTGTGTTTTGTTTTTTTTTTTTTTTTAATTTGAAATGAACATTTAATTCAATTATCCATATCTTCAAAATTTGCACCCACTGGGAGCAGCCAGTTTGCCAACATGTGAAGGTAACAAATGAGTAATAAGCTTTTGGAAAGTCAGTGTTCCCATGCAACAGAGTGCAACAGAGTACAACAGCTCACAACAAATAAAAATACTCCTGATAGCAAGACAGAGGCCTCCAAATGTCTTTGCAGACATAGAATGAAAAGAACCATGAGGTGGTCTCATGTAGCAGATACCTGCTGACATGTGCCTTCAATATCCTGGTCACCCGTGGCAAGGAGCCATGGCTTTTCTTCTCTCTGGGTTCACCTAACCTGACTTATGCTTGTAAGGGCTAAGAGGTAGAAATCTTCAGCAATCTCCTTTCTCATATGTTTACAGAACACCAGTATAATTCATTACGAGACTACTCCTGGAAGTGCCTTTGAAGAGGAGATAGCTGATTTCTTGGGAGGCTGGGAAACTTCAGTTCCCATTTAAAGGAAATGGTCCTGCAATTGTTAAAACCAAGCTCATTTTGATGTATTGACCTTAACTTTTCAACTCCAGTTCAGTAAAGGCATATTTATTGCCTTCAGTGAGACGTGTCTGAAACAAGAGTGACCTATACAGGAGGTAAAATAGTGTTGAATAAGGCCTCACTGGAACTTATAATTGGCTTGTTGATTTGCAAAAATGTTTTTATATTCATTAAGAGAGAACAAACCAGTCACATTCTGGCTTGAAATCTATTTCTGTTCTCTATTAAAGGTGTTTCCAGGGTTTAAAAATATGCTACTTAGGTGGAATTATTCATCAGCTATTTTCTAGGGCAGTGCATTTTTTTTGAGTATGGTTTGCTTGTGATTTGTTTGTTGTAATTATTCAATGAAATGCTTGATATTGTTTTTGTCCTCTAATTAAATGATTGACATGTGTGAAAATGTGGAAAATCAAATGTGTCATATCTGACGTGAACTCCTGGCTGACAGATCTGCATTTTCATTTTCCACAAACTTCTCAAATAAGTGCTTTAATGGGAAGGTTCGTAACAAACCAGAAAGACTTGCAGATAAATTTGGGGTCAATCTAGAGGTTTAGTCAAATGAAAATGTACTCCTATTTCCATATTCAAGTAGCTTCTACTATAACCACTGGTAAAGCTGTCTAGATAGATGTCTTTTATAATCAGTTTTATAATCTGTTGGTGATTATATGCAGTAAAGCCTGCTTTTTAACTTGTCTAGTAGAGCTATAGAGAGTTTCACTGCACTGTTTCAGATTGAGAGAATGAGAAGGTTGGTTAGGTGGTATGCTAGAAAGAGAGTCAATTAATTTGACCACTTAGGACTTCAGGTGTTAATTTTCATGTGATTCTTCTGAGCATCCTTTACAAAGAAGAAGATATACCTTAGGAAGCTGGAAAAGGCAGCGATGAATGCGTTGATGCAGATCCCGCAGTCGGCCAGTGCAATGCTGAGAACCAGCAGATTGCTGGGTGTTCGGAGTTCTTTGATTTTTCGGAAAGAAATAATTGTCAAGCCATTCAGACAGAAACCAAGCAGGGCTGAAATACAAAATTGTTTAGTGTGATTCAGCTGGAAATTGAAAATATCTGCAACAGTACTACTGTTTTCTTTAATGAGAGAACAATAAGTACTGTGGAAACTTATGCACAGGGAATATATCTGCAGTGGTCACAGTCTGCACGCAAGTGACAAAGACTTTTCAGAAGTCATAGGTGACAGCTAAAGCCAGTGCTTCAAACTGCATCAGAGGTATGGCCAGTCATGCAGAGCAGAAATTTGTAATTCTGCCCTTTGTTTTAATAGAGAAACCTGATTGCCAGGCTCCATCCAGGGAAATGTGGGTCAGAGCGAGGAGGGTGCAGAGGAGGCAGCTTCAGAGGGGCTGACAGCCAGCGCATGCTGCTGGTGCACATGTCTCCAGGCATGTCTTTGGTAGAGAAATGGGTTGTGTTTAATATCAATTGTAACATTCTTTTGTGTTTAAGCATAAAAAAATCTCTCAGCTGTGTTTCAGTCAGCCTGCCTCCCTCTGGGCTTCTGTCTAAAGTTAACCTAGACAGTGCTTGAATCACACCAGCTCAATCTTATTACTGCCCTTCGTCAATAGACTATACATGGAAAGCAATAATCTAATTATAAAAAGCAGTCACTGATAGATTTAAAAAAATAAGTTAATATTGGTCCTTAGAAGAGCATCCTAGCAACCCCAGCTATTCACCCAGCACAGAGCTGTGGCACACTGGAACCCATTCTTCACTGCTTTAAGCTGAAGTTTTGTCCTTTAATGTCCTTTTCAAGATGACCTGAATTATTTTAACTCTGGTGAGGATCTGACTCAACATCCCCTCTCTAAGTCTTGTTAGTTGAGAGGCAGTATGTCTTTTTCTTTGTGTTCTTGGAAAGAGAAATGATGTAGCGAAGAAAAAAAAACTCCATATCCCCTAATTCTGTAAAGTAGTGTAGTTACTTATGCTCATTGTCTTAATTCTGCAGTTACATAAGATGGATGATTTTGTCTAGTCAGAAATCCTGCTCCTACCTTAATTGTATTAATGGCTGATGGCATAACCATAGTAACAGCTGATGTGCGTCTTTCATTACACAACATAAACCAAAGTATTTCCAGGAGAAATGCTTGGAGCCATTTGAGATCTGCTGTTCTTATTTCCTCCCTGCCAGCTTACCTCCCACTCACAGGGTAAAACTGCTGCCAACTCCAAACTGCAATCAAGCCTTTAGGATAGGTGACCATATTTAGAGTAGAGCTGAGGAGTTGCTGCTTTTTAGTATTAACTTTTTTCTATCTTTCCCCTGTTTTTGGAAGCTCTAGGCTGCACCCTACTCTGCTTTCTTGAAGGCCGTCATGAGTGTGAAAATAGAGAGCTTACTAAATTAAAAAAAAAAACAGCTTTGAGTTTTCATTTTTAGAACAGCAAATGTGTCCAGTCAATAAAGTGAATGCAAGGTTTTCCTCTTTCCCAGCCCTTCTTTGCAAACTGCACTTAAAAGATGCAGCAAAAAAGGAGGTCTTCATTGCCTTTCTCTGAGAGTCTCTGAGAAAGTGAATTAATCTTTAATTATTTAGTTTGATCTTCTAAGTCAGGTGATAAAGTATTATTGCCAATCTGCTGGGCACATTCTGCCTAAAACCCAATAGAAAATGCTTGCATTTAGTAAAATAGAAACATGTTAGACCACATCAAGTTTCAAGTGAAGCTTACCAGCAGGTACTTTGCTGGGACTCCAAGAGCTGAAGGTGCCTGGCAGGCTGTGGCCCCGGGCACAGGGGGGTGGGTGGGCAGGCGAGGGCTGGCAAGGCCGTGGTACCTCAACCAGCTGTTCCCCAGCAGGACCCTGGCTGTGGGGCTCGCCAGCACGCAGCGGTGTCCCTGCCCTCTTGCCATTTCTCATCCCTCCGTGACGAAGTGCCAAGTCATGCCAGGCTCTGCCAGGCCCTGCAGAGGACTTAATGGCTGGTGGCCAACTTTAGCCCAGAACTCTCTGTTTAGGCAGCAGCTCACCCCTGGGCCACTAGTAGAAGCTTTTTCTTCTCTCTCTCTTCAGAGGAAAAGTTTCTGATACAGCTCTTCCAGCTTTCCTTTGCAGGCAGATACGATGCCGCCTTCCAGCAGAGCTTGACTGCAAGGAGAGGGCAAGCCTCCTCCTTTCTCCTGTGCTCCTTATTTGTGAGGTAGGCTGATAAGCATTTTTCCCATTCTGACGGTGTTTACAGCTTCTCCTCCGCTGCTGTTGGACCCCACACCCCTGCATTCCCAGGGAGCAGCACTATGCAGGGATGGGGTTCCAGGCCCTGATTGGGATGTAGCTCAGACGAGACGCCAGTGACTGACACCAAAATAATCCTAGCTACAAGCCTGTCCTTTGCTAGCTGCCACGTAGATAAAAATTCAGAGTTTTGTGATGGTTTCTCAAAGTGGCACATGCCTTAGGAAAAGCCCACGTTGGCTAAATTAAATGAATATGATCTCCTGCCTCAAATTTTGCTTCTTAACACTGTGAGAGCTTTTGAATCTCATACAAGTATATTTCTGTTTGTTACTTTTACCCAGCAGCCATTAATTACAGCGCTGCCAATGCAATCTGGATGTATGCTAACAGTTAACAGGCTATTTTGGACCTATCATCCTTGATTATAAGACGGCCATCTCAGCCCACAAAACAAGCAGCCAAATTTTCTTGAGAGATCATCAATCATTTCAACATCCTTCCCCCGAGAAAGATAAAATTGCCTTTAAAAGTCAACAACAAATTCTTACATTCCAAATTCTTGATAAGAAAGCTGAGCAGCAAGTACTTCCCGCCATGCAGCAGCTATGTGTACAGAACATACCTTCACTGCAAACAGCCTGCAGCTCACCCTGATTCACTCACCAGAAGCACTGGTGAGGTAGCCACAGTAACCACCATAGGTCTGGGTCAGCGTACTGCAAATGCTGTTTGCTTCAATTTTCCTTCCCCCTCCCACCAGGAATAATAGGGGCAAAAAACTTATTGCTGCTGAGGTCCCGCACTGAGCTTACCTTCTACCAGCAGGGCAGTGCCGATGGCAAACACCTCTAATTCAGTGAAGCCTTCAGGGACAGGGTATGCAGTGACCATACTTGCAATAAAAACGCCAGCAGATTTAACCTCTGCCCTCTGTTATAGCTCTAGGGCTGCCTTTTCTCCGGATCCCCCTTCTTCCACTAGCCCAAGGCTTCTTAAAGGAGCAGTTCACGTGCAGACACATGCTCGTTATTATATAAAAGCTTTGGAGTTTTTACTCCCACCACTACAATCCCCGCAAGAATGTTATTAATGATGGGACTAGCATCAGCCCGCACTCCCCCTTCCCCCCTGCAAATCGTATTTCAGACACTAGCAAAATGAAAGCATTCATTGCAATTACAACAAGTTCTTTGTAGAGACAAGATTAAGAACCCTGTCCAGTTAATTCTGCAACACTGGAAAAGAATTAGAGGTCGTGGAACGAAGGAAACATGTAATATATAATTGGAGAGTGACCTGAAAAACAAAGGGGCACTCATTGAGTTGGTAATTAGAGGAAACGTATGAACCAAGAATTTCTGCAGCACATAGGTCTTCCTCTCACTCACCTCTTTTTTGGAAACTGACAGTGTATTTTTCTGGCAATGACTATTCTGTATATTAACGTATCTCCTGTTCATAAGTGAAGCTTAAATTAGGGTGCACACTGGCACAGCCTGATCAAAGGCAAGCACTTAAACGCATTACTGATTTTGGGCCTCAGGCATTCAGGGATGTATGTGAGTTGCCCAGTGGTGAACAGTCACAGGAATTACCTTATTGTCCTTTTGGAGATGTTTGAGGACTGAGATCTTGGTGTAATGTGGCTCTGCGGTATGTGCAACGTGCAGCTTGTCCAGTCTCCAGATACTTAACTGCCAGCCGACTTCCCACCACGAGCAAACTACACGATGGATCTGAGATGTGCATAAACCCTTGTCATTTTCCAGCAGGGTCAATGATTTTCCTTTCGTTTCTTGTACTACAGATTGATTAACTAACTATTTGGGAATTTAAATGTCTGGATTCTGTGGAAAGGAAGATGGCGGCTTTCAGAGTCCAAGTGAAACAAATGGTACTATTTTAGCTCTACAGCTATTATTTTTGTAATTGTCAATGCCTGTCCATTAAAAGTGAGCAACTTGGCCATACTTCTCAATTTTTAACCTACCTTTAGAGTAGCAATAGCTCCAATAACTACTAGAGTTGTTTTATTTTAATGGTACATTATTCCACCCTTTTTAGTGCATTTGTTTCCTTTTTCTTCATTTCTCATTGCTTACTACTTTTCCACAGGCCTACTCATTGCCTTAACAACAAGGTGCCACTAGCACGATAGTTGCTACTTTGACACATAACTTTCTTCATCCTCATAATCCTACTGTGAAAGGGGAGTAAAAAGCAGCTGAAGCACAAGGGATATTGGTTTCCTCCAGCTCAGGCCCCGTGCTGTGCTGACCTGACTCTTGGCTGATTGAGATGTCAGGCAGAGTGAATTTGCTCCAGATGCAGTCAGAGCTTGTTCGTGGTTCTCCTGACTACACAGTGGAGGTGCATTCACAGTCAGGGGTCTTGGTTGAAGACAGTGGTGGATTTTTTGCAGTTTTCCTGAAATCCGTGCTTACAGGCTGTGATGGCCAGGAGAACTATCCGAGCTTCAAGGCTGATGTGAAACCATCTTGCTGTGTTTTCTGATTTCTGGCATTCGATTTACAGCTGGTTTTGTTGTAGGTAATTGCCTTGATGGATATGCTCTTGGACTTTGAAGTAGTATTCAGGAGGGCATGATATTTGTTAGGCTATACAGATGTTTGGTTTAAGCATAGCAAAATTACATTGCACCACATAAATCCATCGCTATGTTTGCCTTTTACTTACCTAAATGTCTCGATGACAAAGAAGGTGACAGCCCTGCCTCCTAGCAGGGCAAATGACTGATCTAAGTCTGTGTTTCAATAGTGATCCATTGTGTGTTCTTGCAAAAAATTAGTGCTAGATCTTGTAAATGTGCTGTAAATCTTTCTAGTGTGATTTTTTTTAAAACGGGCGGCTCATTGTAATGCTTGTCAACCTAAAGCTGCACAGCTCTTCTAGACTATGGATAAAGGACACAAATATTGTGTGAACTGCCCTCATGAGAGCTGCAAGGTATTTTTGTTTGCCTGCAGCTGTACTTCGCCCTCACTTCCAAGCAAACCTCCCAAATGTGTTACAGTGCTGGTATTTTTTGTGGTGTGTGGTGCAGACTTTGCTCATTCCAAAACTACTTTTTCCGTGAAAGTCTACCCCAACCCCTTTGGATTTAGCAGATCTTTATTAGAATTAGAATGAATATTGTGAACTTATTGGCTGCTTTTCTGTTAAGTGTCTTAAAAAATTTCCATGTCTAAACCTTGTTTGCTTTATCACTGCTGAGTCTAATAACATAAGTCAGTCACAGGCAAGCTTTTTAGTGGTGGTTCAGTGTCTGACTCAAGAGCAATTGATGTCAATAGAAACTTTATGCATCAGACTCTCAATATCTATTTTTGATGCCATGTTAAGCTGACTTTCTAGTAGTTCGTTGGGATGGGATGGAATGGAATGATGTATGTTCCAATATGGCTGCTAAATTCAGTTAGTAACAAAGGGTTATCTTCCAAGATAAAAGGAGGTGAAAATGCGGAATAAATTATTGAGTTTGATAGAATCTACTAATGATAGTTCTTTTTCCAGTTGGTAAAACAAAGCTGCATTTGTTTCCTTTTGCTCCTTTTTAGGTAAGACATAACCTTGCATTGTGTATTCCTGTGAAGTCAGTGAAAACATACAAGTTTGCCAAAGATATTTATTAACTGTTTAAATTATGACGGTTTTAGTGATCCCTTTCTACTTTATGCACTCTTTCAATAGCTACTTGCTATTTCCAAATTCAGGGGAAAAGATCTTTCACTCAACCTGATGTTACCTTGCAGCTTCCTATTTTGAATTCCCACTGATCTCTCTGCATCAATAAAGCACCCATTTCATTTTACCCTCTCGCTTAAGAATACTTCACTGGTTACTAATTTGTTTGTAAGGAACATGCAAAAAAAAAGATCTGATAGCTTGTCGCCAGATGTCTCCATGGATTTCATAAGACTGTACAGATTTGGTGAGAGCATATTAATCTTTGTAAAATATGCATTGGTACAAGCACAACAAAAAAAGGTGCAGTGCAAAGATAACAGAACACTCATGCACTCTGAATTTTCTCCAAGCAATCAATGTAGATTACTGATATACTTTTTTATATTCACAGCAAGAACTTTGCTAAATTGATGTATTATTATTCCTCTGCCTTCCTAATCCTTTCTTCTGATTCAGGTTTAACCAAATCATCTTTGACTTTTTATATTCAAAACCACCTTTAAATGACAAACTGCAGCAGTTCAGCAGAAGCGGGCTGGGAATACAGCCACACAGGACTTCAGTTTGATATCAGAGAGACGAGTGGTAATCTTGTTTCCCACGGGAAATGCTTCTCATCAAGGAAAGGAAACCAAAAAGCATATTGTCTGGAGACCTTCTATTTGCGGTTGTGTAAATTTGTTTTAATTTGGATGCAGTGATTGGGAATACACCCCAGACTCTAAATAGGCACCTGGCGTTGGGAGGGATGATGCAGAGGACAAGCCTGCAGAGCAGCATGTGGACAGGCGCCAGCTCTTTGGACAAGCCTGTGGCCACGTAGTAACTGTTGTCCTCGACAGTCTGGCCGTCTAACACGCTCCTCAATGCAATGTTCTCTGCAGCTGCCTCCAGAGCTGTTGGGAGGAAGAAGTAGTGGTGAAGACCTGGGGATGGCTGAGGAGGCTTGATGGAGGTAGAAGCCTGTGGCTGTGCTTTTGAGGGGTGAGCATGGCAGCCCCAGGGACAGTGGAGATGACACAAGTGTCTCCAGAGTGGGGTTTGTGATCTCTGCGGACAGGATGGGGGCCAGGGATGGAAGGTGCTCCCTGCGCAAAGGAAGGCAGAGGAAGGGGCTTGCTTGCAAGTGCAGAGAGCCAAGATCAGGGATAATATCCAGGGAAAGTTCCTCAGCCATGCTGAGCCAAGGTAAAGGAGCAGTGGGAAGTAAGAAAGCAGGAGAGCATCTTCAGAGCTATAGTGGTGCTGCGCTGAAATCTCTTCAAAAAAGGACACAGCTCCCTCATCTCCTCCCCAGATGTCATGTGTTAACCCTGTGCTTGTCTACACAAGGGTGCAATGCTGCCTGTGTTCAGACCGTCATTACACCCATGCTGTGGCCTGGTCTCCACACTGCGTGGTCACATGGGACCAGGCTGCGCTGGGGCTGGCTTTCCTGCGCACCGCTGCACTTCAGGCATTAGAGAGATGAAACTTGCTGTAAAGTTGAGAAGCATCGCCTTTCCTTCCTACTGCTTGAGTTGCTCCTCTAGAGATGGGTAGCTTAATTCATAGTAAATTGAATACATATTTGATAAATATATGTATATCCACTCAGGCTAGAAAATTAATAAGTTTATTAGAACATTAATTGCATCCTAGACTTCTTAGTCTTTGCTGGATACACCAATCATGATCTTTATCAGATATGTATAATTGTTGCCTTGATCTGTTACCTGTCTCCCAAAATGGATTTTAGACACCTATAAATAATATGTTTTACTTTCAGTTAACCTACTAATTTTAGTGTCATATATGTATTCACAATATAATGATATATAGAATCATAGAATCATAGAATCGTTAGGGCTGGAAGGGACCTTCAAAGGTCATCTAGTCCAACCCCCCTGCAAGGAACAGGGATATCTCCAACTAGATCATGTTGCTCAGGGCCTCATCCAACCGGGCCTTGAACGTCTCCAGGGATGGAGCATCCACCACCTCTCTGGCATATGTTATCTCTGCTGAATGGCAGCATCCTTCAGGACTCTGGAGGAGAAGGCAGTCCTACAGAATACAAGATATGCCTGACAGTATTTGTTTAGTTTGCCCTGTGGGGTTCAGGGCAATTCAGCATGCAGAATAATAATTCTTTCAGGAATTACAGTACTCGGTTCTCAAAGGAAATTCTGCTTTCAAGAGGGGCTTTAGTTGTATTAAGAGAGGATTTGCACACCAGCTTTTCTTCTGTTTACTATTGCTGTTGTAAAGAAGCAACGAGACTCTCTCTGAACCTTTCC